TTATATATATAGAAACTAAATGAATTTTGTTTCTATATTTACATATTTATATATATAGAAACTAAATAAATTTTGTTTCTGTATTTACATATATTACTGTCCAAGATAAATTGGTAATAAACAAGTATGTGAAAAATTCAGGGCTTAAAATATGTGCTTGAATATCTTCTTAAAATTGTCAGCTTTTATTTTCTGTAGTATGATTTCCAAATGATAAGTTTTATCTTAGTTTCGTTTCAGACAGAATAAATTACATAATTTTGTTTCAGCCATTTAGTTACCAAACAAAAGCTGAAAGCTCATCTTCTCTGGGTTTGGTGACTGCTAACCAATGGGAATACCTATCTTAAATATGTTTGATTTACTACATAAACATCTGAATTTCTTGTAACAAGGTTGAAAAACAAGGACATGACAAAAATATAAGAAACAACATATTCAAAAACATAATATTTTAATCAGTGTTGATCAGTCTTTCGTTATTTTGATTAACCATCGCACTACTATTTGTAATTGTAAAAAAAAATTTCAATTACTAGTATTTTGTTAGATTACAAAATATTACAATCTATTGGTTCATTTACATATGGTTTCTGTTCAATAATCTCTTAACTCTTGTTTAATGACTTTAGTAAATTAACTTGTGGTGGTATGATTTATAAAGATTGTATTAAATAATGGTTTAAGTCCTTATTTTATGATAATAATTTGTACATTTCTGAAACAACAGATAATTATAAGTTAAGTTTTTATGATTAATCTTGTAATATTCACATCTATATTAGCAAACAATTTTGGATATGATGACATTTGTGAACATAAGCCTGAAGGTCTGATAAAAGAGATGTTTTGTTACATCATTTAACAAAGCTTAAAATTTTGTTGGATAGGCAACATGACTTTATTTGAGGGCAATGTTGCCTTACTAATTTTTCGACATTTTGGAATAGGTTGCTATTTATGAAGGTAATTGTAACTGTAAAGGTGTGGATTTGGTATATCTAGATTTTCAGAAAGCATTTTAAAAAGGTACCACATAAAAGTCCTCTTAAAAATTATTTCTACAGATATGCAGATATAAGTTGGTTCATTAGATTGAAAAATGACTAAAGGAAAGAAAGTAGAGGGCTGTTTTCAATAGAGTTCAGTCAAAGTGGATTAATGACATAGGTGAGGTACCTCAGGGCTCAGTGTTAAGACATTTCATCTTTTTTATTTATATCAATGAAATAGATGAAGGAATGGTTAGTAAATTTACTGATATTAAGGTCTTGAGTGCTGCTGCCTTACAAAAGGATTTACATCATTTGATGAGTTTGACAACTAACTGGTAGAGGTATTTTATTACAATAACTACAAGGTAATACATTTGAGTTATCATAATTTAAATTACAAGTTTGTTTTTGATAGGAATAACCTTAACAGTGTTACAAAAATGAATCTTGGTGTTTTGGTTGATCACTCCATTAAGCTCCTATCCAAGCACTGTGCTGTTGCTAGTGGTAGGGCAAATAGGATTTTAGGTTGTACTTACATAAATATTAAATATAAGTTTAAAGAGTTTATTTCATATTACTGGAACTTACTCTATTCTTAATTTTCTCTGTACTACTGTTACTATTAATAATATTGCTTCTGCTAGGCTTAGGGCTTCTCTTTTTATTTCATATTACTGGATTTCTTATTGAACACTTCCTATTCCTATCATGCCGACTTTGTCATGTATCACTACACTTATGAGTATCAGTGCTTAGTGTTTTGACTGTTATTCCTTAGCCTTGTTAATATCAGCATTTGGCATCTGACTATTAGCTTTAGTCAGTGGAAAGGTATCATTTGTCTCAACTTTTGCACATAAGTCTGAAGGTACAAGCCTTTCAAAAGTTAAGATCTCCATTTCTATCTGCAGCTTACCTTTCAGTATTATAAGCTCTTAAGAAATCCTGCCATATAATACCACCTGTTTCTGAATCTATTTGCCTACAGATGTAAAATGAGCATTCTATCTCTAAAGACTCGTATTTTCAACTGAACACTATACTTGTATAGCATTTCAACAGGATGTCCTGTAATGGAAGTTAAAAAACTTTTTGAAACTTCCTTCCAAGCATTATTTAACAATGTCAGCTTTTTATCCACTTGTTCTGCACTTAGCAGAAAACTGACTACTTCTACTAAAGCTACTGGTGACACTTCATTAACACTGCAGACACTCAATCTCTTATTCCAAACTGTTGGAGCTACCTCTACTTTTGCTCTTTAATCCCAGTTGGGATTACATTTTCTGCTTGTACAGTGAATGTAGAGCTTCTATTATTTCTAGAGAACTTCCTTCTGAAAGTCCCAGCCTTAGGGGCTTTTCCCTTTTATGCTATTGGCAGGCATCTGCAAATTCTGGCTATGTGGCCTTTCATTCCACAATTAAAACATGCTATCTGATAATTTCTTTTCTCTTTCTGAAAAGGTTTTTGCTATGTGATCTTTCTTGCCACAGTTAAAACACTAGAAGTCATTGGGCGTATTCTGCTTGTTTTGCCAGTTTGTTTTATTATTTCTGTTACTGCTTACAACATTTACAGTAGTGTGCAAAAGCTTATACATCTGCTTTTCATGTAGTTCCTCTTGTGTAGCTACTTCAATCAAATCCAGCAAGGTTGCATCAGGCATATTTGCTTCCTTCACATTTCTGCAAGTTATGTTACTGATTAAACCCCGTTCATAATCTGACTTCAAGGTATCTTGTATCATCAGCTTGTCTGGATGTCTGTTAGTTCTGCATAATCAGTTACCTAGTTCTTGTAGCTTATGCCCCAAAACTCTGACTGACTCCCCTCTTTGCTGAGTCAAGATATGTATCTCTGTCAGAATTATGTTTGTGTTTTTCACTTTCTATATATTTTTTTCCTAACCTTAGCGCTAATGACTGGAAATCTATAGTTTCACACAATTCATCATAAGCCATAATGTAACTTTTTGCATCTCCTGCTGTTCTCAGTCATAAAATATCTCATTTTTGAGCATCAGTCCACCATGAAATTCCAGCAGATTCATTTAATGTATTGATAAAACTATTGATGTTTTCATCAAGTTTACTGTACACCAATGGTATCCTGCCCATTAAGTGCATAATGCCATGTGGACCTACTCGTGCAGATTGATATGCCATAGCCTAAACATTTATGCCAACTCTTCTATCAACTCTGGATCATGCACCCTCTTCTGTTGTAGTGTCTATGCCAACAGTAGCCATGTTTACTTAGTTATTAGTTATATTTACTTACACTACTTAACCTTTCCACATGGGTCAAAGGCCATGTCATCGTGTTTGTTGACTCGTATTCAAAATTTTATTGAACTACTATTTTATAAATTTATGTTAATAAGTTTGATATCAAACTGTAGATTATAATTCAACTTTTAATATTATAGTTTATTTATTTTTTATTTTAAAACATCAATTTTTGTGTGTATTGTGTATGTTGAATGCGGCACTGGTTCATATTAGATGTTTGTTATGTCAAAATACAAAGTCTATAGTTTCTTATAAATTAGATACTCAAATTACCAATATTAACAAGCTAGAGTATAAAATAAGAACTTTCCATCTTTTCTACTTGCTGAGATATTGTTCATGTACTGAATCAAACACAGTGGCCCTGCTCACCTCTTTCCATTTTTGAAAATGCTCCCTTATATGCACTTACTTTTGTCTATAACATGTGAATAACCTATCGAAAGCTCAGAATGTCCCCGGCTTTTCAGCCATTTTCAAGTATTACAACATCATCTCGTTCATCTAGTTTGCTCAAAATTTCGTATATTTTTAGACCCGAAATACGGCATAATTACTAAGCTTGATAAATTATAGTGGAATTCTATGATATCGATACACTAATTTATGATTTTTTGGTTATTTTTAATGTATATATAAAACCTAAAAAAAAATATTTCATTTCACTTTCACCATATGCAAAATTTTATAAGGCTTAGCAAACTATTACAAGCAGCAAATGAGTACAAAGGTCATAACTAGAAAAAATAATTGTTTGCTTTACTTCTTTATTTACTGTTCTATGTTGCAAGAAAAATAAGTTTAAGAACTTATTTGTAAATACCAGTAATGTATATACATATTTATAATAATTGAAATGTGACAATATTTTGCAAAATACTAGTCCACTAAAACACAGCCAAAACAGGACACTTTGTACAGACCAAAGATCAGTTTTATATTATTGGATATGGTAACATGAGTGCATGTGCGCTGCATCATTGTAGTTTCTGTACTGTTAGCCAGGCATGGTTGAAAGGTAAATATAATTAATATATATAAATGTATAATGTTATGAGATTTCAGCTATTTAGTCTGAACATTTCTGTTTTCGTGTTATAAGTTGTAGTCATTCTAGAACAAAAACAGCATAATTTATATTTATTTCCTAATTTTTTATGGTGGTTACGAGAGTGGTCAAATCGACCAAACCTGTACAGAGATTCGTTAGTGAAAATAACAGATAGAACATAAAGTTTATTCATAAGAAATGTTTGATAACTATATGGACATTATAAAGATTTTACATATGAAATTAGAAAATTTTCTGATGCATAAAAGTATTTTTAATCTTAAAATGAAAATTACTTTGCATGTTAAATAGGCAACATGACAAAAAAAAAAGAAATAATGGCATGAGAAAAACATTGTTTAACAAAACTTAAGACTTAATAAAAAAATATGATATTTTGGATATGAAAGCCTTGTAATGTTTACTGATAGTCCGACAAGTTTTGTGAACATACAATTTAAATAATATAGTATGAAAACTATAACATACACAAATGGTTATGGGATTAGATAAGATAAAGAGTTGGTTCCCATTACTGCCTGGATATCATCGTAGTTTATACTTGACATATACATTTCTTTTCTTGGTCAAGCATCGTTATGTAACTTCTCTTATGGATTCACTAAATGTGCACAGCTTTTCTTCATGTTGCATGAATGTGTGTTATACATAGAATTTTATAAAATTATATTTCTCACTTCTTGAAGCATTTGAAAATAGCATTAAATGCCACAAATGCTTCAGATACAAATATAAATTTTGGTAGGGTGAGAGTCATTTTCAACATAGACATTTTTAATTTTCTAACTGGGTAATTTGGCTTCAGAATGGTTTTGTCAAAATAATTGAGGCTTTAAATATATATAGTATTTAGTAAGTAGGTTAAATAATATGGGTGTTGGGCTAAGGATTCTTCTACAGTAGGTGTCTGTGACTTGTTAGCAATAAATTCGAAAAAATAATAAAATAAATAAGTAATATATATGTATTCAGAACAAGTATGTAAAAACTTCCTTATGCTATGGATATCATAGTTGTACCTTAAATACTAGACAATTCTCTTCTTCTTCTCAAAAGTCCATTTAGGCCAATTCAGTTGATAAGCTGTACAATTTTTCTCTATTTTTATCTTAAAGACTATCAGTGTATAATTCACTCATTCCTTTTCTTCTCTCTCTCTCTCTTCTTTTTATCACAACAGTATCTGTGTATAATTCACCTATGCTGCCTCATTGAATTACCACAGTTGTATCCTGAACATCCAATACTCATCAGCTTTTTTGTATTTTGGCCTACTTCCAATAAACACGTGCTTTTTTGCATATAGGTCTACTTCCATATATTCTTCTCCTTTTTGTCAAAGTCCACACAGGCAGGTTCAATTGCTTTAGAATACCCTTTGATGAGATAAATTATTCTCCTAAGATGTCAGAAAACTGTTAATCTCACTTTAACATATCAACTGTTAGACTATTCACTCCTGTGATAGTTAACTTTACATTTTCTAACCTTTCTCTGATTGAAACTCTCTTTCACTTGGCTTTACTTTTGGCTCTCTTTCCACTCTCTGGTCTGTCTGATTTTTCCTGCTTGTATCACACTATTTATATATATTTATCACTTAATCATCTGCTTGCCTTCTATAAATCTCTATATTCTCAACATCAGTAAATTTCATGCAATGTTTGATAGCCTCAACATCAATCAATTATAAACACAACTTCTAATAATCATCTGCTTTTAACTCTTATTATAAAAGAAAACAAAACAATAATGAAATATTAATCCACAAAATAATTAAAAATTTATTAATACTACCTAAACAGTCTTTTATATCTGATAGGGTTACCTTCAGATGTAGTTGATGCAGTAAAGTCAAGGAAGTTCAAGGGAATGCTCAATTAATATTTAAATAGTCAGGGCTATATTTTAGTTTTTTTTATTGTTTTTTTAAGTTAATGGGATTCCCCTTGTTGTACCTTAAATGTTATGGTAAGGACAAAAAATTTTTCATTTTATGTAAGCACCAGACAAATGTATTAATAATATTGGGTCTGTAATAATGTTACTGATAATTAAAATGCCTCGTAAAAAACACTTGAGATTTTCAATGAAAATGTTCATGTTTGACTATGATTTATTATTACTGGTCAAGAAACTGATTTACTGTACCTATTATATATGTAAATGCAGTTATTTACCTTTGATGCATCAGTGGTCAGGTAGTTTCTTTACTGCAGAAAAATTACCTGTTGAGAGGTATAGTTTATTTACATATATAATAGATAACTATGTTGGTCACTGAGTTGTCAATTCCTTTATAACAGTGCTCTCTCTCTCTCTCACTTTTTTTTTAGTCATTTAACCTTCAGGATATATAAGTTGTTTTACAAAATTATGTAGTATGGATACATGGTACATAACCAGTAATATGTGGTTTAATTGTTTTTCAGAGCTATATCTAAACTGCCCTGCTATTTTTTAGCAACTTTTAATATTTGACATTAGTTAAATAATATATATATAAAGTACTAAGCTCTGTTAATGTTTATCTCTGAGTCTAATTTAACATATGGATTTAGAATAATACTCAAAAAGTTTTTTTTACTTATAATAGAAGTTACCAACCAAAATATATTTGTTTTATTCTCAAGAGGTTATATTTTTATGAGTCTTCCAGTAATTTGAACAGTTTATCATTATGTTTGTATTAACTATTTCTGTTCTATATATATATACACACACACAAAGAATTATTCCAATGCCAGGTTTGTTTTTAGGTACACAATAAGAACGGAAAAGACATGTTTTAATATGTCATTACTTATTTGAAACTTGATACTGCTAACTTTTGGAAAGAGTGAAGGG